TATATACAGTTTACTTTATTCTTTTGCGCTAGTTACCGATCAATAGATCTGCTTATGGCTACTTAATAGTATTGATCTTAAATAGGTTGCATATATTTACATAATAATATAACTTTTAATACTGGTGGTAACTTCTTAGAATTGTGACCTACTCATTGAAAAATAATTGTAAACAAAAATGTCGCCAAACCTGGATTTTTAAAATTAAAAACATGAAACTCACTTTAAAACGTTTATAATTTTTAGCGGCTAAATGTTATTATTATTATTATTACAAATTATTTGCCAATGTTCTGGAAGAAAATAGTTTAACTGGAATAATCTCAGAACTTGTGTTTAACTGCACAGACCGTGGGAAATTGCTGGGTTTTTATCATGGAAATGGGACAGACTGCCAGAGTCTGAGTAAGTTAATTTGAGAATAAAAAGTATACATGCAAATATTTATATCATATTTGTAATATTCCTTCATTTACTAAAACTAGAGTTTAACCAAATTTGAATTACAATTAAGCTGATATTAAGACTTGTAACTTGTATAGATTTTAGTTGAAGTCTTGTTTGTGGCTCCCGAGTAGAGGTGGTGGGGGGGGGGGGGGGAGAGAAGCTTTGAAAGATGAAGTGCATGACCTGACCTAATGTGTGCCGATGTGCTATATGTACAAATACTCCTTATTCCCTCGTGCTATTAGAGCATGGAATGGATTCCCTAAGTCAGCCATGAAAACCAATGACTTGGCAGAGTCACTCATTGATTAACATGCATGACTAGGTTGACCTAGGGACACGCGTAGGACGTTTTCCTGTTCTTTGTTGAAACGTCTGTAATTTATAAGATAAGATAATCCTAATCATCGTTTCTTCTTGTCTCTAGGAGTGGGCCCAGAGTCAGCTGCTACACGTCGTCCTGCCCCCTGCCCTCAAGGAGTGGGATCAACTGATTCAGAAGACTAGAGGACCATTCATTGCTGCCTCAGGAGTAAGTCAGTGCAGAGATGCCAATGGTGCCTTAGTGATTCCCCCCAATATCCCGTCCGCGGGTAGTATCCGGCTTGTGACACGGTGTTATCTGCCCCTTGATACTCCTGCCCACAGAACATAATGTTAGATAGGCTACTCCTGCCCAAAGAAGATAATATTTTTATAATCCGCCCGACAGAAGATAATGTTAAATTCTCCTGCCCACAGAACATAATGTTTGATGCGCCTGCCCGAAGAAGATAATGTTAGATATTCCCGCCCCCAGAAGATAATGTTTTGATAATCCTGCCCACAGAAGATAATGAATCACGAGGACAACCTGGCCAACAAATCAATGCTCTCGTGATGTTCTAATATTCATGTAAAAAAAACTTTTATAATAATAGGGCAAGCAAAAGATTTCAAAATAGATAAAAGGGAGGTTATCAACGAAATAAAATCGTAATTAGAATTAATGAACAGGAATTTGTTTTTGTTTTATATGTAAACCTTCTCAAATTTATGAAGGAAAAAAAAAACAGTGTGGAAAGATGGTATTCTATGCGTAATATTGGAAAGATGACATTCCATGCGTAACTTGATGCGTTTTCTGACTCCTTAGATAACAATGGCTGACCTGGCTATCGTGGACTTTCTGGACCAGTGCTCCTCACACCTGATGATTGACACCCTGATGTCGGACTACATGGCCGTCATTGACCTGATCACAGTCATCAAGAACAACCCGAGTGTCAGGAAGTACAGCGACGACCGCCATGAAGATTGAGAACCGTTTCGGCCAGTGGATTGTCTCTACGTACTTTAACTACTCTCTAGTACTATCAAATCAGTTTCCTTTTGTCCCTTGTTAGGAAATGGGCATGTAATTTTCGGATCTCGTGTGAAAAATACATTAATCGAAAGAATAGTCAGACATTATGGAATATTTCTGCTTTGGTTCTTGATCTAATGACCATTTTAACTGTTTCATTTTTTACGGTACATTAATTGTCTTAAGTTGAGTTTCTGACAAGTTTATGATTAATTTTGGTCGTAGACCTAACTGGATACTAAGAAGTGTCAGGGGGGGGGGGGGTCCCCCCAAGCAAATATTAGAATCCCTTATGGTTTCATCACTTTTAAGGTTAGTACTTTCTTATTTCGGTTATAGCGGTGGCTGAGTGGTAAAGCTCTCGTCTTTCAAACCGAGAATCTTGGGTTCGCATCCCGGTGAAGACAGATTTTGAAATTAGATATTTCTAGGGCATTCTAAGTCAGTAAAGGTGGTTGTGTTGGCAGATGACAACCTCGTTAATCGTCGGCCACTGGAACAGATGACCATTACTGTTTACATCATCTACCCTATAGATCGCAAGGTCTGAAAGGAGTACTTAAAATATTTTTTTAAAATGTGTATTTCATCAAAGCTGTTAAGAAAAAAAAAAGACCTAATTGAAACATTGTGCAGAATGTAGCCTGTGTAGTATGTTGTAAGACTCAAAAACAAAGATTTGCTGCTGCAGGGGTAAACGACTGTATAGAGAATACGAAAAACTTGCATATATGTAACCCTGCCGGACCAAGTAAAACAAAGGACGTTTGGGCCACGAGGCCTTAATCAGCTACAAAACAAACAAAAAATAAAAAACAATTAACACAACCTACCACCCTCACAATGTGAAAGCAAAAAACATCTTTCTCAAAAACCTGAAAATTCTCCTAGCCGATGAACATACTCGCGACGTCTTTTCATCCCCACCTCTTGTAGTATTCAGGCGAGACCAAAACCTACAAGACATATTAGTACACACTAAACTCCACAACATTTCAAGTGAACCTGGCACTTGGCCATGTAAGCGACGTAATTGTCAGACCTGCAAACACACACTCGCCACCCCCACCATCACCTGTCCTAAAATGACCATCAAGATCAGTGGCAAATTTAACTGTAATAGTAGAGGAGTCATATATGCTATAATATGCTCAAGGTGTCAGATGGTTTATATTGGAAACACAGGCAGGACCTTAAAAACACGACTCCAAGAACACCTTAGAGACATTCGTAACTTTGCAACTAAGCCCGTCTCTATCCATTTTAATAACACACATCATAGGGGTACCACCGACCTCCTCGTCACTGCCATACAACAATGCAACGACAAAAACACCCGTCTGCAGATCGAAAACAAACTTATTTACATGTCAGGCACCCTCCAACCTAACGGGATCAACAACCAGGACACTTTTATTTAATACGCGATGGGCACTAACACTACGGTACCCCCTTTTCCCATTCATCTTTGCATGACATCTCCGCCCCCTTCCGTTTTCCCGCGCTTTTACACCAGCGTAGCTCATTTCTTTTCTTATCTTATATAATACAGACGTTACTTCAAAAATGAAGATGATGACGTCCTACGCGTCATGCATTTAGTCATGCATATTAACCAATGACTTAAATTCTGCCAAGTCACTGGTTTTCCTGACTAGCTCAGGCAACCCATTCCATGCTCTAATAGCACTAGGGAAGAAGGAGTATTTGTACAAATTTGTCCCAGCATATGGGACGAGGAATGTACCTTTATCTTTGTGTCTTTCAGAGTATTTTATTAAATTTTGTTTTTGTATTTGAAGATTATGGTTCAGTGTTTTATGTATAATTGCTACTTTACTTATGAGTCTTCTGTCCTGAAGGCTTTCTAAATTTAGTGATTTTACTATAGGTATTACTCTAGTCAAATGTGAATATTCATTTGTTATGAATCTCACTGCTCTATTTTGTGTCTGTTCCAGTTTCTTAATGTTTTCTTGAGTTGAGGGGTCCCAAACGGAGGATGCATATTCTATTATTGGCCTAACCAAGGTTAAATAACATTTTAGTTTTATGTTTTTATTTGATTTATAGAAATTTCTTTTAATAAATCCTAATGCTTTGTTTGATTTTTTTTTTTATAGTTTCATCAATATGTGGATTCCATGACAGTTTTTCATTTATTATAACACCTAGGTATTTTGCGTTTTTAGTCTGTTACTGGTTTGCCATGAATAAGATAAGTGGAATTAATTTGTTTTAGTTATTTTGTTACTCTTAACAGCTGACATTTTTCTGGGTGGAAAGACATGCTCCAATTTGATTCCCATTTCTGTTAATTCATCTAATTCTCTTTGTAAAATATCTGTATCTTGTGTTGTTATTATTGTTCTATATATTATGCAATTGTCTGCAAATAATCTGACTTTTGTTCCTGAAGTAATGCAATTTGGTAAATCATTTTTTCGGTGTTGATTTAGAGCCATTTATTATTACAGTTTGTTCTCTCCCTATCAGTAAATCTTTAATCCACTGATGCAGTGGACCATTAATGCCAAAATATTTTAATTTTTTAAGCAAACTATGGTGGTGAACTTTGTCAAAAGCCTTAGAAAAATCTAGTAAGATAGCATCTATTTGTTCACTATTATCTAAACCTTTAGAAAAATCATCAATTGTCCTATTAGTAGTGTTTCACATGATCTATATTTCCTAAAGCCATGTTGGTATGGCGTGAGGACATTTTGTTTGTCTAAGTGGTTTACGATGTTGCTACATATTATGTGTTCTAGGATTTTACATGTGATGGTGGTAAGTGATACTGGTCTGTAGTTTCCTGGGTCAGATTTTTCTCCTTTTTTAAATGGGGGGGGGGGGTGACATTAGCTTCTTTCCAGTCCTTTGGTACTCTGCCCTGGTTAAGTGAAGCCTGAAAGAGTATTTTGAACACTGGGGCTAGCTAATTGCTTAGTTCTTTGAGTAATCTAGCTGGAATACCATCAGGTCCAGACGCTTTATTTGGTTTGGTGTGCTAATAGTTTTTGAATTCCATTTTCTTGTACTACTATATCTTCTATGTTGTCTACTTGGTTCAAATTCAGTAATATGTAATATTTTCTGCCTCGATAGAGAACAACATCGGACAGATAAGTTAACTAAAGACTATTTTGTGTTAATTGTTTTTTTTTGTTTGTTTTGTAGCTGATGAAGGCCTCGTGGCCCAAACGTCCTTTGTTTTACTTGGTCCGGCAGGGTTACGTAGTATGTTGTAGTATCAATAACGTAGAAACGTTAGTTCCGTTATGATTGTACAATTATTTTTAATATATATCAAAAAACGACAAACATGCAGGCAGTGAGGTGAGCTGTAAATGGAAATGTGCGATTTTACATTTCTTAGCAAGTCAATTTTCGGTACCATTAAAATAATTTTACAGTCATTAAACAAAGGGAGACTACTATTTACATATAAAGTTAAGATTGGTAAAGTAAAAATTCCACACTTATGTCCCCTGAATATAAAGAGGGTCATTAAGATTACAAATTTGTAGATGACCGCTATCTTTTGTGTACATTTATTCAGCTCAATCTTTACCTAGAAAACTCCAATAAATTGATTGTATGAATAAGCTTGGCCAAATATATATAAAAAGATACAATAAACTGAGGAAACAAATTTGTTCTTTACAATTGAAGTCCTTCCTTTAAGCATCGGTTGGGATATGCAGACGAGAGTTCGTTGACATGGAAATTCATGTATGTGTATTTTTTTTTTTTTTTTGAATAACCTATATAAATATACTTGTAACAAAGGCATAAAGCAAAGATGAGTTTCTCGGAAGATCTAGGTTATTTTCTTTCCAGCAGATGCAACTGAACTTTGAAAACAAAAATTACTTCTAGTTCCTGGGGATAAAATAAAATTTTAATCTCCTTAACAGAGAAGTTGGCTAATCTTGAATCAAAATTAAATCACACTAATAATATAACAACTATGTGTGCCCAAAAGGAATTTATTTTTTTTCTTTCCGATTTGATACTGGGATGGACTAAGCCTCGTTTACAAGATGAAGATCTCTAATTGGCTTTGGTTTTTCAGAAAGTATATTTTCAAAATTAAAATAATGTATCCTTAATTAAGGACTGTACCCAAAATTTGACCAGTAGATTTTACAAGCAGATGAAGTAAAACTTAGAAAAAGATCGATTTCCAGTTTTTTCTGTCAGTAAAAAGGCCCACGCACAGCTCGTCAGCGGGAAGTAACTAGTCGCGTTCAGATGCATCACAAAAACAGCTTTTTTTTTTTTTTAAAGGAATGTTTAAATTAACAAGAGTTAAAAGCAAAATTTATACAATATCACATAAGCGACTGAGGTCAGAGGTCACCTAAACAGAATTGGAGTCGGCATACTAATGTCGTGTTACAATCTTTTGACAGGTGCTCAAAGTCCGTGTTTTTATGACATTTGCAGTTGCAATAATAAATATTTGTTTCCTACAAGAGGATACATTTAGGGATGTGTCACATCTGTAGTCATCGTTTTGTCGTCTTGTGTGGCACTCGTAGTGCTCACCTCGACCGAGGAGCTAATCACAGGTACGTGCGTTTTGGAGGTCTCCTGAAATAACGCTGGATAGGGAATCGGCTCAACTAATATTGTCTTGCTCTCAGTCATAGTGGGATTAACGCTGGTGGTAGGATCCACCGACGTTTTCGATTCAGTCGGCTTAGCACATTTGGACTGTAAATCATTCACTGTAGTCACGACGCCAGCCAATGTGGATTGTAGGCCGACTATTGTGGTCAGCACGCCATCTAGAGTTGACTTCACATCTCTTAAAACGGCCTTTATATCAGCACACTCTGTACGGGGGTCCTCTCTGGAGAATGTTGATTGTACATCAGTTACAGTGGGCCATGGAGTCTGCATGCCAACTTCTGTGGGCTTCGAGGCTAATGTTGACTGCATATCAATTACTGTAGACTCTAAGAATTCTACCGAAGACTGCAAGTCCCCTGCTGTGGGTTTCAAATAATTCAATAAAGACTGGGCCTCGGCTTCTGTGCCAGCTAACAAATGCTTGACGTCATCTATAAAAGGCAGCACGTTTACAATTGGCTGCTTTGAGGAATATAATGATGACTGTAACTCAGGTAACAAGGGCTTCGAGTCATCTGATGGAGAAAGCTGGTTAGTTATGGTCAGTTGTACGTCATTTAATGATGTCTGATCTTGAGATGGCGTTGGCTTGATGTCAACTGGAGCAGACACTGTGTTAGCCAGTGTGACCTCAAGATTATCACTACTTTGATTCACTTCATTGAGACTTGGAGTTGGCTCTGTTTTAGCAAGAGTTGAAATGTTAATGGTCGGGCTGGCTCCTTCGAAAGTTAGATCACTTGTGACATAGTGAGGCCAGGTTCTGATTTCTGCGTACAAAGCATCGCCCGGACAGGCTGTACTTGGCTTCATGTCACGGTGGCCTCTCAAGGCGTAGTTCCTGTCTATTTTTTCCATGTCAACTCCACACTTAATCAACATCTTGACAGTGTCCATTTGGATCTTTGGAGGCAAGTGGTCCGTGAAATCACCAGACAAACAGAAACCTGAATATGTATTTTAAAAAAAGATAACATCTGAAGATGAAAAGATCTAGGCAACTGATGAAATGATCTAGGCAACTGATGAAATGATCTAGGCAACTGATGAAATGATCTAGGCAACTAATGAAATGATCTAGGCAACTGAGGAAATGATCTAGTCAGGGCAGGATTTAAGGGAGGACAAGCAGGGCTACGACCCTGGGTTCTCCACAAGAAAGGGCACGCTACACACACAAAAAAAAGATTTAAAAAATACATATCCGAATTTCGACGGGTCGAAATTTTTCAAGTTGTTTTTTTGTCTAACATTTTTTGTTCGCATTTTTTTCGACTTTTATTAAACCTTTCGAAAAATTGAAGTGGCTTCCACAAAAATCCTGACCCGGGGCCTCCATATACTTAAATCCGGCCCTGTGTCTACCACATAAACCAAAAATGCTTTTAAGAAAATAAAACGAATTACCTAAGCCAACGGAATTGAACCCCAGCGTATGTGCTCCAATCCTGTCCCAGCCACGGCCCTCAAACACCGTGCCGTCACCTCCGACGACAAAACTGTAGCCAATGTCGTCCCAACCTAGATGAAGAAATGTTTAATTGAACAAAACTATTATGAACATAGACACTAAATCAGGGGTTCTCAACTGTGGGTCGCCTAAGACCATCGAAAATATGTATTGTTTTTGTTTTTTCTTCTATTGCTGTATGTGTGTGTGTGGGGGGGGGTCGCGGCAGAGTGGGGGATTGTAAAAAGGGGTCGCCGAGCATAAAAGGTTGAGAACCGCTGCACAAGATAAATATTTTCTTGTTATAACGTTCAGTTGTTTACATCTTTGAAGGCGCTGTCAGGGGTCAAAGTCCGCCCTAGGTTATCTGCCAATGAACTATTCTACCTTGATTGTTTAATTATATAGTTGCGTAGGCCAATGCTCATATTTTATTTTATCTTTCATCTGATTTAGATGTTTGTGTAAATTTCCCTCTAATTTAGTGACTATGTTTTACGACATTTCAGTAATATATATATATATGTATATATTAGGGGTGCACCGGATAGTCCCTCCGGCTCCGGCTTCTGGCGAATATTCGGCATTTTTTACTATCCGGTGCTATCCGGCTCCGGTCGGATATCACTACCGGATAGTAAACCGGATAGTAAAAAATACACCTATTTAATATGCATTAAGTGGACCCATTACTGTCTGTTATAGAATGTATTAATGTTTATATGAAAACAAAATAATGTGCTTAAAAATAGAGCCATTATAAATATACACCAAACATCGTTTATTATAAAGACAAGGCATGTTAATAACTTAATATAAATAGAGATGAAACTTTACATCATAAATGCGCTTTACATACATAGATGCAATGGCTGGCACTTTTTTCAATTTGTCTTGACCTTTGACTAAGTTAGTTAACATGTTAAAATGCTACATTCCTTGACTACGTCATGCTGACCAGACGTCTGCCTAGCTGTGTGGGTATATCTCCTGAGGTAGAGATGAACAACTCCCACCCCCTTTTATTTGTTTAGTCCATCACATTGAGTTTTTTATAGGCAGGTAACCACAAGTTAAATACGATGGACGTAGGTTTAATGTCAGCGTATAGACACTCTCTAGTGGTCACACCTTTCGAGGGAACTGAGTTTGTTTACTTAGTAGTTAATCTTTATTTGGGAGGGGGGGGGGCTGGACTACAAGAGCCACACCTCTAAGGTAACCAGGTATAATTCTAGATGAACAAATCCCTCCCCCTTTTATTTGTTTAGCCCATCACATTGAGTTCATTGATTGACAGGTGACCCCAAGTCAGATACGATGGACGTAAGCACTCTCTAGAGGTCACACGAGGGAACTAGGTTTGTTATTGGGGGGAGGGGGATTAGACTTTACATTATAAATTCGTATTACATACGTAGCAGCGATGTCTGGCACACTGGCTTGTCTTGACCTTTGAGTGGACTAGTAAACATGTCATATTCCTTAACTACGTCACGCTGATAATCTGTCTAGATGTACGGGTATATCTCCAGAGGTAGAGATGAGCTACCCCCACCTCCTTTTGTTTGTTTAGTCCATAACATTGAGTTCACAGATAGGCAGCTGACCACATCAAGCCAGATGTCAACGTGTTGACACTGTCTAGAGGTCACATCTTATGAGGGAACTGAGTTTGTTTACTTGGAGTAGAATTTTTATTAGGGGCGGGACTACAAGCCAAATCTCTATAAGGTTAATTTGGTATGAGTTTGTTTATTATGAGATAGGTTGTCAATCAAGGGTCTGGACCACAAACCACACCTTTTATACTATTGGACGGGTAATAAGTTTGTTTACTTTGAGTTAAGTCTCAATTATGAGTCAGGACTAGAAGCCAAACAGACACTGACCAAGGGTATCTTTAAGGGAGGACTCAAGAGACTTAACACCCCCAACTTTTTATTTGTTCAATCCATGACAATGTATTGATAGAGAATATAGACATTGACCATTCTTAAAGAGAATGGATTAACGCAAATTGTTAAGACAAATTGACACTGTCTAGAGGTCACTAGATGATGACACTAAGTTTGTTTACTTGGAGAGAGCGCTGAACTACATGACACACCCCTACAAGTATTTTATTACACAAGCCACGGGTATAAAAGTGGCTTGCAAAGGCATTTAGTAAATTGAAAAGTAATAATAATGGCTGATAAAAAATCATCACTTATATGGCGTTACTTTAATGCCAAAACAATGGACAACTCTAAAGCAGTTTGCAATGCTTGTAAAATAGTTCTGTCAAGTGGTAAACTAGGCAAACCTAAAGACTTCGCAACCAGCAATATGATTAGTCATCTACGCTCGAAACACCCAGACTTATTCAAAGAAATGACTGCATTGAAATCAGCATCAAGTAATATCACTGCCTGTGCCAGTACGTCTACGAGCTCCAGTGACTCGTTAAGCCTCACACACAAGCAGCATTCAGGGATTAAAGAGGTCTTAGACAAAGCTAAATTGTGGGATATTAATAGTGATAATGCTAAACGCATTCACTTGGCCATAGCAAAGATGATTGCAACTGACATGGAACCTTACCAAGTAGTTGAGAAACCTGGATTTATTGGACTTTTAAAAGTACTGGAGAAAAGATACACTGTGCCTAGTCGCAAATATTTTACA